AGAGTGTGGGAAACGGACTTGTTTGTGTGGTAAGGTGAAATGCAGGGAGTTCAGGATGTTTGCTGGATAAAGAAAAAGCAGAGAAAACCAAATCTAGGGGAAAAATGTGCTTTTTTTCCTCTCAGTTTGTTCCCAAGAGTCTTTTGGCTCTAAACAAAATTCCTCAAAGACAGTCCATCTAACAGTTCAGTCAACTAATACCAATAATAATACAAGATTTTGTCTGCTTTACTGTTGCTAACTCACACTTGTTTGTCTGCAGGTGTGTAAGTACTTCTTGGAGGCCATAGAAAACAATAAGTACGGCTGGTTCTGGGTGTGTCCCGCAGGGGGCGACAATTGTATGTACCGGCATGCTCTGCCTCCCGGTTTTGTACTGAAAAAAGACAAGAAGAAGGAGGAGACAGAGGAAGAGATCTCGTTGGAGGAACTTATAGAGAGTGAGGTAAGGATAACTACAACAGCGTGCTTTAGGGAACCTTTGAGGTGAGTAACAGCAGCACAGAAATTAACTATTGAATGAGATGGACTGGAAGGTGTAAAAGTGAGGCTGCTGTCTTGGGTATTGCTGATATGCAAACCGTTTTTACCATAGACAACTTTGCACTTTTCTCCTTTAACTTCAAAAGGCTGGCTCAGCCTGGTGTGGAGGTTCACGTACCAAACCAAACATAAGCTGTGAAACCTTTATGTGGGTGCTGAATGATTAAATGCCTCAACTAATGCTCCAAGTAGGCAGGTCAATAGGAGAGCGGTAGTCCCAGGGTCCACTGGTCAGTTGTTGCTCGATATGGTCCCATTAGACCAAATTGTCATTGGTTATACAATTACTAGTGTTACTTACAATATAAGAAACAAATCGTCTGGGATTGAGCCATTGTATTTTTTGCAGCTAGAGGAACAGACTGGAACCACTTTGATCCAGACTGATTGACACCATGTTGAAGAAGTCACTGCATTTTGTTAAAACTTTATAGCAGTTTCTGTTGAAATCCTGTTGGACAGTTTAACTATTTAAAAAATGCCATCTGAAACAGAAAGCTAAGTTGTCTGTGTTTAGAGCTTCTGCCAACATTCACGTCTCCAGCTTAAAGCTTTACGTGTGAATGTTATCACTACTGGTGTTTCTGTAACGGCACACACATCACAACCAATAGCAGCAGCCTCACCTAGTCCAAGCTGAGTGCAAACATGTATCTGAATCGGTTATGATTTCTTAAGAAAAGTATGTTTCAAATAGTTTAGTCCAGACAGATGATATTACGTATCATTGCAGACATCTAGACATTTAGTGACAGCAGTTCTAATAAATGTGAGCAAACTATGTGACCTCTGCAGGGTAGTGGAACGATGTTTAAACATGAATACAAAACTGCTTAATATAAATTGGTGTCGCGGTCAGTGCTGCTGTTTTGGATTATTTTTGAATGTGTTACTTAGGATGTTTGCTAACAATTCAACATATGTAATTATGAAAGTAAACTATTTCTACTCAGTATTGAAAAACAGCAAAACTTGCTGTTAAGAGAGCACATAAGCTAAGACTGAGATATTATAATTGAATGCTAAGAAATGTCTCTGTCTTCAGATGTTGTGGCCTCACGCTGTTACCTCAAATTAATTAAAGTGCGGAAACTGAGATTTCTTTCTTTGTCTCTCTCCAGCGTGCAGCTCTGGGTCCAAATGTCACTCGGATAACTCTGGAGACTTTCCTGGCTTGGAAGAAAAGGAAAAGGCAGGAAAAGGTTGGACACATTCAAACACTGTAGTAGCATCAGGTTGTCAGAGCCAAGTCCCCACTTTTTCCCTGATATTATTAAAGACTTGATTCCTCGGGGGGTTTTCAATGACTGAAATCATTAAAGCTTTTTCAAATATTTTTGTCAAGATATACTTGATGCTTTTGTTTTATCAGGTGGACAAAGCAAGGGAGGAAATGGAGAAGAAGAAGGCTGATTTTAAGGCTGGCAAATCTCTGGTGGTGAGTGCAGCGGTTGTGAAATTTCACCTTGGCAGCGGTGCCGAAGCAAAAATGTCTAAACGCAATTTGTATTATTATCTGTATTAATTATCTGCAGGTGAGCGGCCGTGAGGTGTTCGAATTCCGCCCAGAGCTGGTTGATGATGACGATGATGAAGCTGACGACACTAGATATGCCGACGAAGAAGAAGAGGAGGAGGAAGAGGTAATTGTGAAATTTCCAGCAATTGCATAATGCAATAAACTCACAGATTTGGTTGGAGGCAGTTTGAAAGAAGCTCTGTGTTTTAGAATAGACAAAATCCTCCCACAGTCTTGTTTTTCTGTAGTCTGTGTGTGAGTTTATATTGATTTCAGCTCTGTGGCTCTCACACTTGAAATGAGATGTCCCCGCACAATAACCTGTGTTTGGTGTCTAATATAGTTTGCGTTGTTGGTATGAAATATAAATGTTTTGATGTTGGCATGCAGTGTGTTGGGAACCACTTCAAGCGATTTATTTTAGTTTCTCTGTGAGGTCGGTGTAGTCAGGCAGATATGTTAAGGTACTGATTTATACTGGAGAACAAGCATTCAAATATGAAGCCAGTATTTCAGTATTTTATAGCTGGTGAAAAAAGACTTATAGGTGAATAAATATTAATATTACTGATAGTATTAATGATAGTTGAACCTTCTTACCAGTGATTGGTTGAGCCATGCACATCTGTACCACATATCGAGACAATGTCAGTGTTTTCTTTAGTTAAATCCACACATGCAGGTCTCCCAAAATTCCCTTTTTGACAGTTGTCTTATTGTTGCTTTTCCAATGTAGTCACAATGGTTTATGCTTCCTAGCTAGACTAGTATTCAGATATTTTCTAATTTTATGGAAAAGGAAAAATGTATACATCAAAGATAAGAATTTTAATATTACTTTTTTTTTCTTGCAATTTTATTTGGACACTAGAGTTTTTTAAAATTCACATTTCCAGCCCTTCCACGTTTTTTCTTTTCTTTCTTTCTTCTTTTAAATTTCAGATTGATATTACAGACGTCCAGGACATAGACTTATCTCGCTTTGTTCCACAAGAGGTCGACAACACAGGTATTACTGTAGCATCCACGGACCGGTTCACCTCTAGGAATAAGACAGAGACGACGGAATCAGACGACGGTGAGAGAAAAAACACACTGGTCAAAGTTTATCCCTTTTTTGTAAGAGAACAAACACAGTACTTCTGATGAACAAACGTCAGCTGTGTGAGTAGCATTTTTTTCCCCTCCTGCTTGCAGAGGAACAGCTGAACGGAGCTTGTGGTGGCGCCGAGGCCAACGGGCTTTCAGAGGAAGAGGGCGGAGGGGAGGATGGAGGAGGGGAGGATGAGGATGAAGAGGAAGAGGAAGTACCGGTAGATGAAAACCTGTTCACGGGAGAAGATCTGGAGGAGCTCGATGAAGAACTCAACACACTGGCGCTGGAAGACTGATGAGGAGGGAGCAGGAGGTAGAAGTCAGATGGACTAAGTGGCAAAGGGATGGACTGATGGATGCATGGAGCTAAACATCAAAGAGACCAGACGTTTGAATGATTTTAAGTTTCAGAGACTCCAGTAATAAAGCCTGATTATATCTTGACATCACTGCCTGTCTCTGCCCTCTGTTTTCACCGTACATCATTCTGTCCTCTGGGTGTCCAAATTTCCACGGCAGGGCCAACTCCACGCATCTCTGCTGAGGAGAACTTGGCTGTGGTTGCACACTTTTTGTTGCTTTACAAACTTGATGGCTTACACTGACATTTGGTAAATTAGGCTTCAAGTGTTTCTCTACTTGATCAGTAAAATATTGAATATATTGATTTAAGGGAAGTGTATCAGATTTAAAATTAAAGAGCTATACCTGTTAGACTGTATTATTAAACCAGACTTCAGTGGCGAAGAAGTTATACAAGTGGAAGGTGAACACAACTCACCTGCTCTCATGCCAAAAAGCTTTAGTTAGGAGATGCACTTTTGTGATTCAAGTAGATTCAAGATTTCAAGATTGTTTTCCCTTCAACAGATCCATTATTTCATTTAGCTGAGGTCACAGCTCTGCTGAAAAAATCTCTTATTTTTAGTAAAAAAATGTTTGAAGGAAAGGTCCAAACTGAGCTTCTTAAATGTCAGCTCCCTGATCTGAGACCAGATTCGTTCCCAGTGCCAGCCTGGTATTGTAAATAATGTTCTCATGAGTTGCCTAAAAATAAAATAAAATTACTGTACATCCAGTGTCCGTCTCTTTTTGGATGCCATTGCTAAATAGCTTGATGCTGTCCCTTTTCTGTTTAACACCCATATTTCAGTGATTGTTGTCTGCTCCCCTCCTGTTGTGTACCATAAAATAAAAGCAGTGTATTTTCAGTGATTCAGGGTCAGCTTTACCTTTTTAGACCCTCTCTCTGGGCTAGGACCGGGATAACACACAACCAGCGCCAATGCTGAGAAGAAAAAAAGATTTGGAGCTCTGTAAACCAACCACCTCCACTCCCAAAGTCTGTGGCCCCAACCAGTGGTTTTAAAGTTGATTAGTAGAGTTATACTTTATGCCAAACCCACTCAGTTATTTATAATATCTATATGTTGAAATCCAAGATTGCTCTTAAGCCATAACAGGAGACTAGATAAAGCGCTAATTAAGAAAACATGTATTTCTGAAAATGCAACCTAAGTAAAAATCCACACAGGTTATTAGTGTCAGATATATGCACATGGGTGAATAGCCAAGTCAAACAGGGCTTCCCCCCCTTTAGAGCATCAGAGGGACACTGCAGGACAAAGACAAGTACAACAGAAGGAAATGAAGACCCAGTATCCAGATGGTCTCCGGGTCATCATCACTTTTTTTTTTTTTAAAACTACAAACTGAATGCATGACCTTTTAATTTAGGAAGCTTCTTAGCATAACAGGAGAAATGATGGTTTTATAATTAATTTTTTATTAGCTGTTCAGTTAATATGTTGTAAAAGAAGAAATGAGACAGACAATGTGTTCAACTATATTTTTATTGACAAAAAAAAAAAGTTTCACAGTCATTCAAATCACCTCCTTTTAACCGAGCCCTGCACAGGCTACAGAGCGTACCATCAGACAAATAAGGAGGACCAGATGTGAGCTACAAACTGTCCACATCCAGCTTTATAAAGCCTGTTTTTCACAGCTTATCAGTAAACTGCAGCCTCCTGCCTGCAGATTTTCATAAAGTAAAATGCTGCACACTGCCCGAACCATGAGACTTCTCACGTCACGTTTCTTAAATAATCTGTTAAATCAAAGAGCAGTGTCGAGGCTGACATTTTGCACAAGTATGACACTGACCACAAACTACACAATTGCTATTCACAGACTGTTTACGATTAAGACTTCAGTTTATTAGTGGTATAACACTGGCGCGTTCTATCAGTGAGTCGCTGCAAGGTCACTGACCGGGAGTAAGGTCAGACAGGTGTCAAAGGTCGTGTCAGAGGTCGGGAGAAGGTCTTGATATCGGTCTGTCAGGTCAGGTGTCATTGTGTCATGGCAACAGTCGCCTGGGGAACAAGAAGCTGCAGTGTTATTCACAGGAAGAGAAACGACTGTCATCAGAAACTTCTTGACATCTTGTTAGAGTGTCGCTTTCGTGACTCATGAGGAGAGAGCTTCACAGGAGTGCACAGGTGGGTGACGTGAAGGAGCTCTCACACAGTTTAAGTTGCAAATAAATCATAAAGGGCCTTCGCTGTGGGTAACATTGAGGTTAAATATTCTAAACTAATAACCTGCAATGGAAGCAGAGTAAGGGTGCAAAGCTTGATGTATAATGATATAACTTTCTAATGATATGATTAATAAATACTCTTTTACTACTTTGAATTCTTTTAGCTTATAATCAGGCTTTGAAAGCCTTCAACACAATTTGAAGACTCTGATCTGTGTTTTTTTGCTTTACTGACCAGACTTAGTATTGCAAGGACACTTATGTACAACACATGCTGTGACATTGCTAATATATCAGGAAAAATCCAGAAAGTTGGTGTTTCCTAGTGTTTTATTTCATAAATACTTTGTTGTCTGTGTAGTGCTTCCTAACGTTTTCTTTTTGCACGTCTACCTGCCTCCATGATACCACCTGTTGGATCAGACATCACAGCACTGCAGAACTTTCTTCCTTGTGAACTGATGAAGTAGCACTGGTCCTTTGTAGTTGGTTAGCCTGCCTACACACTGAGCCTTTCTTGTCGCTGAACAGACCCTGACAGGTGATGTAGAAAGCCAAGAGTTACGCTTGTTTCCCACTATTACGCAGCTGAAATTTGAACTCCCAGATTACTTCAAGCCGTCACCTCACACTGTCCCTGATCCTTTCCCTTTTTGTACTTATTGTGTTTATATGCTTCATTTTTGTTCTTTTGTCGACGTTTGTTAAGAGCGTCTTTACTTTGTGGTCAGTCAACACATATACCCGAAGCATCTGACACTAGAGCACACACACACACACGCACGCACGCACGCACGCACGCACGCACACACACACGTGTTGGATTAAATAAATCAGAATTCCTAATCAAGAATATAAGAAATTATTCTCGTTGGCAGTGTGTCTGATATTTTCTTAAACAAACATGTAAACAGACAAATTACGTGTACAGTGTATATATTTTGTTGCCAAAATACTTCCAATTGCACATACTGGTGAGCCTGCAGTAGAAGACTGCACACTTACCACTGGTTCGTGTCATGTAGGCTTCAGTAGGTACGAGGACGTTTATGAGATTCCTCTCTGGGAGGATCAGCCAGCATCACCTTCATCTTTACCCCGTTAACGACGCGTCCGTGGAGCGCTGCCATGGCCTCGTCCGCACACTGACAGAGATGAAGAAGAGTTTGAAGTTTACTTACATTCTATTCCTTCATTAATAAAACCCACAAGTTTATCCTCAATCTGAGCTTTACCTGTTTATCTGCATACTTCATGTATCCAACTTTCCTCCCTGGAACCAAGTGGACTTCAATGAGGGAGCCAAAGCGACTAGACAGACAGACACAGGGAGGCACAGACGAACAAATAACATTTAATTGTAAAGCAGGAACATTTTCTAATTCTGTCTGTTTGGTTTAATAGCAGCTTTACTCTGTTATTTAAGAGCACTTAGCCTGATGTTATCATCCACAGCAGTTTGCACTGATTGAGCCAAGAGTCGTGATCAAGCAGACCTTTAACCGTCCCGGTAATGCACTGTTTTTTGTTTTTTTTTTACTTTTAGTGATTGAGTCAGACCACAGGGCACTTACCAAAAAACATCCTCCAACACATCGGGGGGCAGCGGGGAGGGGCTGAACACGACAAACAGCCGCTCCTTGGTTTTGCTCTCAGGCGGAGCAAGCTTCTTCAGCGACGGCAGGTTGGCGTCGGTCTGAATTCGAGAAACTGACGAGACAACAGAGAAGCCCTGGTACATACCAACGTAGAGAACACAGGATCAGTAATTTAAATGTAACATACTGTTCACACACTGCATATCCCTCAGAAAAGGAGATTCTAGGTTTGATCTGTTGAACTACTTTTAATCTTTATGTGAGCACAGATTTTTAAAAGATAAGCTAATAAGAATTAAAATAGAGCCTTTTTAGAAATTTTCTTATTATCATTGCTAAAAAAAACAAACATCTGAAATGTAAATAAAATGTGCAGAGTAACAAGACGATGACCTGACACAATTTTGTAAATCAGATGTTGAATTAATGACTCACAGGTTTCATCACTTGGCTGCTGGATGGTCCGTTCCAGACCGCTGACATCATCTGTGCTGCAACAAACTGCATGGCCATCCGACCTACAGGACTACACACAACAGCAAACATACAGGCTGTTTCCAGCTGTGGACACGATGGGAAAATTAAGTCTGCCTCAAGCACCCAGCACAGAGGTGCACTGGTCGCTTGTAGGGCTTCGTCTACATGTTATAGCTAAATATAATCACAAGGGGGCAGTGTTAAAACTCTGTGCAGCAACTATAATGAGAGCGACTCTTTTTCATGTTTGTGATGTTAAAGACAGAAGGTGTTTAGAAGAAGAGTGTTTAAAACACTGTGTACTGTGTAGTAGTGCATGCTACTTTAATCTCTGATGGCTTTTTGTGCTTCTTCCTGTATTGCGCTGTATTCTACTGATGTGTAATGTTCATGTTCAAGCCAACTTGAACAGGAATGGAAACACTGGTCCTACATTGCACAGTTAGAGACGCTGAGGCATAGCATATTGAGAAACAGCAGGGGGAATGACAGCTGTGCATCTCAGCCCCAGTTCACTGTCACTATATAGTCCACAAGCACCAAATTTAATATCCTGGCCAAGTTAACTAGATCCATATTGTTCAGGATCGTCTTCTGCCTGTTCTTCTGATGTCTTTTACTAGAGAGAGTGTGAAGTTCATGAATATTGTGAGTGTGTATCGCTAACAGCTTTGAGATCACGTAATATTTAAAAAGGCAGTCACGGCACTCTGAAAAAACACTCCCCGGTCACTACAACCCACAGGGGACAACATTCACCTGTGAATATTTAACAATAAATAAAATGTGGCCAAGAAGGCATGCAGACAAGGTCGCAGTTAATTATCAGTGGCATTTTCGTTCCTATCTTTTAATTTATGGATATATTAGCTTTAAAGGGTTTTTCTTCTCTGAGGCTCCAGTAATTTGTGACCCTTCTGCAGGTTCAAAGTTAAACATATACTGTTGTGTAGTTATGTGTGCATTGTGTGTATACCTGCCGCGGTCCTCGCCGTCGTCAACAAAATTTACCGCCAGTCTGTTTCCAGGTGGATATTCAAAGCCATTTAGCTTTTCTCTGGCATAAAGTGCTGACCCAAGATTGCTGTAGCGAATCAAAGCATGGCCTGGAGGCAGGTGACACACAGCAAAGAAAAGGTCAGAGTGGAATATTTTACAGTCATCAAAATAGAATGGACCACATCAACATCCACAGAGAACCGATACTGCAAACTAGAGTAAAGCTGATGCAGTGTGTAAAATAACCATCAGCTCCATCCAGTTTTTCAAATGTGAGGGTTTGCTCCTTTTAGCCATCTCATATAATCACAAATACAATATTTTTAGTCACTCTGTCACACTAAGAAAACATTCATGATTAAAATCTTGTCACATCTGTAGAGGATTAAATTGATAACATTGGTGGCTCTATGTTCTGTAAGAGCTTACTTTGAGGTTACTGTTCCCAACAATCTGCTCAGTGTTTAGTGATTCCTTGGCCCAACAGGTGAAGTTAGACAGTTACCGTCCCTGAGCCTCATTCTGCAGATGGTTCGTGTTAAAAGGGTTTTTTTTTTCTCCTCAATGCAACAGATTCTGACTGGTGTAACATGTTGGAGGTATATAAATAACATTGAACCGTTAACCTTTGTTCATTCCATAGGCATCCCTCTGCAGCTCGCAGTACTCCATGCCAGGTATAATGTCAAAAAGAGAAAAAATCTGCTCTTGATTGAGTGCAATGCGCGTGGACACAATGAGACAGCGTGTGAAATCACCGTGGCGGTAATCTATGACTGTGTAGTTCCCAGGGTCGCCTATACAGAGAAGAAGGACACCAGGGTCAGTACCAAGACAGAGGATAATACTAAGACCTTTACCCTTTCCTTCCTATGGTAGTAAATTCTGATGACAAAGAAACTCGTACCCGATAACAACGTGTACTGGTTCATGGATTCAGAGCCGCCAGCATAATCATTTCTGGCTGCTGCTCCTCCAGAGCTGTAATCTTCTGTTCCTGTCGATTTGCTTCGAGGCTCAGCCAGAATGGCCCTGTAGGCTAATAACATCATTTCCACAGCTTTAAATCATAAACATGCCCTTTACTAAGTGTTAACAGAAGTGAGAAGTCACCACAGCGGTAACCGTTGACCAACCATTCTGTATATTTGATGTTCATACAGCTGCTTCTACCAGGATTAATGAACAAGTAAATGAGTTTGGCAGACCTACCTTTGTCGCAGTTCTCTATGGCGAGGGCAGCTTGGGAGGGTTTGTAGTATCTTACGTAGCCGAGGCCTTTACTTTCTCCTGTAAACTTGTTTTTGATGATCACACAATACTCAATATCCCCATACTCCTGCAAAACAGAAAACAGAAAGAATCTAAATGAGCATTTAGGGGTGTCAGCGAGTTCTAGAGAGCCTCAATTAAGATGGCCTAAAAGAACACAAAGAACCTACACCAGGACTGTGATTAAAGTATTTTGCTCTAAGCTAAATATATTTATATTTGTCTATCAAATGGCCTAAAAATGCATAAACTTCTGTTAAGTAAGAACAAAAAACATGCTTTAACTATATACAGACCACTTATGCTTAGCGTATATAGTGTTAGATGGCCAAAACTTCTGTGCGTGAGCACAAAAATATTTTTCATAAAGGAAACACAATACTGACATTAAAACACAGGCAAACATAGAGCTGCAGAACCACAAAAGAAGTATTACTTTGAATGTTTCTTTGAGGTCCTCTTCTGAGAAGGATTTGGGGATCATGACAAAAATCCTGGTCAGCTCCTCATCCTCAACATCTCTGTGTCTCGTTGATGACCGTGACTGGGCTATAAACACCTAAAGAGCCAACATTTGCAAACAAAGAGACACAAATTATGCATTAAAATAGCGGACGATACACGTTATTGTATATTTTCGTAGAAGAATCGCAACTATGATATTTTCTTCTGTAAAGTTAAGAATAAGATTTATCCCTAGCCAATAAATATTCCATGTTTTGTCTTCTCAGTTCCAAATATTTAAAATTTAAACAGCATTTTGCACAGAAGAGTGAGATTGTAGATAATTAAGGTTACGTGAACTGAAAGCAGCTAACGATCACACCCCTTTAGCTTGCTAGCTATACGCATATTATAAATCGACAGTCTGGACTGAAGCAGACAAAATATAATCTCTTTGGAGACCTAACCATTGACGTTACCTTCACAGGTTTAGTCCCTTCCACCAGGACTTTGCCGTGCATTTCTTCCATGGCCAA